TACATATATATATATATATATATATATATATATATATATATATATATATATATATATATAATATATATATATATATATATTATATATATATATATATATATATATAATATACATTATTATATATATATATATATACATATATAAAAAAGTAAATAAATGTATACATACATATGTATATACATATACTGTATATATATGTATACATATATACATATGTATATATATACATATATAAATAAGTAAATAAATATATACATACATATGTATATATATGTATACATATATACACATATGTATGTATGTATGTATGTATATGTATATATATATATATGTATGTATATATATGTATGTATATATATATATATATATATATATATATATATATATATATATATATATATGTATATATGGCTGAAATCATAAATGTAACCCATAATTTAGTTTAGCAAATAGAGAGCTATCTTCATAAAGCAATACCAAGTCATTGGTACAACACCGAAAGTACTACATGGTTACCTTTGGCTTAGAAAGACCCAACTGTCTCAAAATGAAAGAGTGGAAACAGATTAAAAAAGTCATATCTTGAACACTACAGCTCAATAATAAGAGAAAAAAAAGACTATGACATTTTGTAAATCTAAATAAATAAACACATTAGCTTTAATCTATTTGTTTTTTCGCTGTCTTTGTTGTCTTTTTTGATTTCCTCATCACATTCACACATGTAGATATTTCATATACGAACTAAATAAAACAAAGCAATTACAGTTCACAATCCTAGGCTGTTTCCCTGTCACTGTTAACCACTCCATGATCAATACTTTCTGTGCAGAAATTATATGGGCAAATCACTTAAAAAATACAAAGCCTCGGCAATACAAAATTATACCCTAATTACAAGAACTTCCCAGTATCTTAAGGTCATAGATTATTGTATATCATAAGATTAACCCCACCAACCCTATAGTAGTAGATGCTAGTTTATAAAAGTATGCATATGCTCAAGTTCCTCTTGGATGACTATTCACATGGATTACAAAAGTAGGAATACAGCATAGTCACCAATCCCTAATCTCAATAGATATGAAGGAAGAATTAGTACAAAAATCACTAAAATGGTTGTAGCATAGGATACACTTTACAGTAACTTCATATTCTACAATGGAAAATGTAACACAAGACTGTGCGTTGCAGTCGGTGATCTGTTATCAGATAAAAATGGGTCTTATGAAGATGAGATGAGAGTTTGGTCGCCCATTAGGCAGTCTGTTGTTGGAATCTAATTCAAGATCACTTGGTCATTTCAACCCATCCAATGTCCCACTTGTTCTGGCCATCTCCTTGGGGTTCCTAGCAAGGATACAATATATACTGTGTTCCGTACTCATTACTCTAGACCTTAAAATGAAGCAAAGACACTGTGGCAATCTGGCTGACTGAGAGAGAGATAACTTTGGAGGTATGTACTTCCTACAAAAGTAGGAAACAAATATTCTAATAATAATTTGTACACAAAAAAAACTTTCTTCTTGTATATATTATCATAGGGAGATCAGGTTGTTGACATTAAGATCTAAAAGCTGGGTAAACCTTCTTATATGTAATATCCAATAAAAATGACATCTTATTAATATGATTTTGTTCAATGAGACTCAATTATAACTAGTGCAATAATGACTGTTCTTTTAATTCCATATCTGCAATACTTCCATTTTAAAAAAGGGGGGGTGGATATATACTCCTAGTTACTGAATTTCAAGCTTTAAAAATATCAGAATTTAAAGTACAACACTAATTTATTGACTTTTTTTAAATATTACTTACATAGCCTACACAGATTGAAAAAATCATCTGTTTACATTCATGAACTTACTCATCAGAAGACAAAAATGAAGGATTTCAAAAATACATTCCATTTGGTTGTATACAATAACAAGTAAATCTTTTGGAAAACCCTAAGAGCTGTGTACCTGCCCTTGCCACCTCTCCTACTGGCCAACCCACTTTGCCTACACTCTGAAGCTCTCAGGGAGAATGACACCCCCCTCCCCACCCTCAAAAGACAACCCTTTCCAACAGTGAGCATGTTCCCCCTCAACATGGATTCAAGAATGGGTGGGATACTGGGTAATTCAATTAACAGCTTACATCAATGCACAGTGGATCCGAGTGGAGCTGACAATTGTTTGAACTGGAAAATGTTGAAGCTACAGTTATATTACAAATCATCTATGAATGTACATCTACATCACTACATAAAAGCTGAACTCATATGGACCACCTCTGACTTTCTTTCCTTTTCTATTTTTTTCCTGGGTAGTGAATGCAGACGTCACAACCTGTAAATTGTACAAGTTGACTCAAATGAAACCTGGAGAATACAGGAAAATCAAAGTATGCATCTACTGTCTTCATTCAATCTTTTCACAAAAAGATGTGAATCAAGAAAAAAAAAAAACTATAAATCATGGACATCATAATATCTGAAAGCATATAAACAGCTATTATCAAAACAAAGACAAGGAAAATGATATAGAATAAAACTGTCTTTGACAACAACCACAAAGTTAAAGGTCTTAATAATATCTCAGAATACACCTGTATTCACACTAATGGAAAACAAGGTGTACACTGGGTCCTCTTACAAGTTCAACCATTAGGTGTGGTAACTACAACTACCTACAACTAGATCCATTAATGTCTGTTAAGCTACAATCATTTCAACCCAAACAGACACACTGGGTGCAATTTCACAACCACACTGGTTAGGATATTTGAATATAAAATTCTATCACTGGTCAAATTTCATCTCACAGCTAGAATTCTTTTGGCTGAAAACCATGACTAGCAGTTTCAAAGCTAGGAATAAAGATCAGGAAACAATTACGAAAGGCTGAAAACAAAAATGCAATAAATAAATACAAAATATAAATAACGAATTTAAAATACAACAGCAATTACAGCTGATGAAACATTGTTTTGAAAGAAAGAAAGAAAAAAAAAGAAAAAAAATTTGACTAGCTTTTACCTATTTTTCTCTCTCTCCTTCCTGATTTCCAATAGCCACACTACAAACACTTAAGACTTAGCCATACCTTTGGCACGCTTTAAGACTGCGGCTGATTGTGTTCCAAAAGATCTTGCATACCAAACCAGTAAGTCATTCCTATATGTTAAGTCCAAAAATAGTAAAATAATACCTTTTCCTGGTCTCTTATCAAGTAATCTAATCCTACACTTTTCCATCCTGAAAGTACCAATAATTCCCTCTATGATATAGTTAAAAAATATATCCAGAATGTAATATAACCCTACATGCTACAAGTAGGGCCTTTTTGCTTTCCCATCCCAATTGTTTTATTTGCTATGTACTTTCTGCTTTGATGCACTTTGATCAAAACTTACCTTTGCAACTACTGGGAAACTTTTTGCGACACTTTAGTTTATGCTCAATCAGTAAATTTTATCAACATGCATCGCTGCACATCATATCAGCAAAGCATTACACTTTTAATTTACTAGTGCCATTCTCAGTCAATGCAGTTTCCATAATACCAACTTCATAAAAAAAGTTGTCTTGAAAATAAATAGATAATTAACAGTAATAAATAAATACTTAGATTTGCAAATCTAAAAGTATAACTAAGGTATAACATTTTAAAACCTAAGGGTGTATTCAAGAACATCAATAATAAAAATAAATGATAAATTATGGTTCCTGTCAAAAAAATCATATCTAAACCAATACCTATTTACTGAAATGCTCCAAATACACCCCTAGGATATTAAGATCTTCAAATTAATACCAGATCACATTCAAATTAAAAAGCTCTACTAAGATTTTTATAGCCCACCTTAAAAGCCATAAAGTAACATAGATCCTTAAATATAAATCATAATACTAATGAAAAAGTAAAGATCCAAGCACCAATGATGGCACATCCATGAAAATTTGTAATAAAAGTAAACTAAACGCATATTCCAAAACCGAAGTACAAACTTCAGTCACCTAAGCATGTGTTAAAGCTAAGGGTGTCTGCATATCTGTTTATGCAAATCCGGTTCTATAAATTTCCCCACTATTAAATAAAAAAATAAAAACAACATAAAAGCACCATTTCATGTTATATATCTGTAAAGATTTACCTAATGCCCAAAGTAAATGTTGATATCAAACATTTATTCTAAACTGTTGTTTGTACTATCCAACATTCTAAGCATAGAACTGGGCTCTTCTTTTTAGCTAACTGGCATTTGGTCAGTTTTACCTGAATATGCATATATTCATGTTCTACAGTCTGCACACTGATTAGTAAATAAATACAAAAGTAAAAACAACTGACATGCTTCTGGTCTAAAAGTTAAATACATCAAAAGGTGTTCGGGTTCAAAAAAGATTCAGACAGGCAGTATATCAATGCTTGCAGTTGGTGAAAGACAAAGTGTCCAACAAGACAAAATTGTTGAGAACTGGGAATGACACCGCTCCAGCCTTCGAAAGTGTGGTCAGCATGACTGGAGCAGTTGGTCACTTTCACTAGTTCATGGCAGAAAAGGTTGTCATGTTCTTGACAACAATTTTTACAGTGACTGACATGACCGAACAAGATTCAAAAGAACAGCCTCCACAATCAATAGTACACAATTCTTTGCCCCAATTCTTTAAAGATTGTTCTTTAAAGCCAATACATATTTTCATTTACATAATCTTAGCTAACTTTATTGTATTTCTTTTTCTTATGTATTACCAAAATAAGATTTCCACATGCTTGGAAAACACAACAGCTTTTTCTTAAAACTAAATTGTACACCCTACAACTGTCCTTTTGAATATCTGCTCTTTAGTACTGCCAAGCATGGAAAAAATAGGTAATAAATGACAATCAAATGAATAGCATAGTAGCGTTCCGAGGCCACGATATGTTGAAAGCTGGTCCATTCACTTGGCCTACTGAGCCGACTAGAGTGGCGGGGCTCCGAGACAATGCTTGTGGCGAGCTCTAGTCCTCCTGAAGACATAAGGAGTTTCACTTTAACGACATCATTGAAAAAGGAAGAAAGACAAAAAAAAAAAAAAAAAGCAATATGTCATTCTTTCTTGCAAACCAAGAGCTGTGCAGGTCTTGCCTCGGACTCACAGATCTAAACTAGCAGGAAAAAAAAATATGATGACATCTTACAATCAGACACTCTCCAAATTCAACTCCATGGACTTCTCTTGAAAGATGGTTATGAAATTAAATAAACCATGTCCCATTTCTGTGACACTTAGTAACTACAGTATCTCAGAGAAGCTTCATCTCCTTGATGGTGAAAAATACTGTATCACAAGCACACACAGATACACATACCACACACTATATATGTGTATAGACACAATATATATGGGTACACATGAGTGCACGCGCAAACACACACACACACATACATACATACATACACACACACACACACATACATACACACACACAGATATACTGTATATACTCACCAATATAAATATATGCATGCATACTAACACACAAACTCTCATTCTGTTTTCTTATTTTAAAAACTATTATTGGACCAAATGAGTATCAAAAAGTATGTGCATGTCCATGTGTGGGTGTGTGCATGTGCAGGTGTGTGCATATGAGAGTGAGTGTGTGTGTATATGAGAGTGAGTGAGTGAGTGAGTGAGTGAGTGAGTGAGTGAGTGAGTGAGTGAGTGAGTGAGTGAGTGAGTGAGTGAGTGAGTGAGTGAGTGTGTGTGTGTGTGTGTGTGTGCTGTGTGTGTGTGTTGTGTGTGTGTGTGTGTGTGTGTGTGTGTGTGTGTGTGTGTGTGTGTGTGTGTGTGTGTGCATGTGCTGTGTGTGTGCTTGTGTGTATGCATGTGCAGAGTGTGTATGTGCTGCACAAGTGTGTATGCATGTGCACTAGTGTGTAAGCATGTGCGCATATGTAGTGTATATGCATGTGCACTAGTGTATATGCAATGTGCATGCATGTGCTGTGTGCAATGCATGTGTGCATGTGGTGTGCAATGCAATGTGCAGTGTGTATGTGCACATGTGTGTGTGTATGCATGTGCATGTGTGTGCATGCATGTGCATGTGTGTGTATGCATGTGCACTAGTGTGTGTAATGTGCTAGTGTGTGCATGTGCACATGCTATGTGTGTGCATGTGCACTAGTGTATATGCATGTGCACTAGTGTGTATGCATGTGCATGTGTGTGTATGCATGTGCATGTGTATGCATGTGCTGCATGTGTGTGTATGCATGTGCATATGCATGTGCACTAGTGTGTAAGCATGTGCACTAGTGTGTATGTGCACTAGTGTATATGCTGCACTAGTGTGCATGTGCACATGCTGTGTGGCATGCATGCATGCATGTGCATGTGTGTGTATGCATGTGCATGTGTGTGTATGCATGTGCATGTGTGCATGCTTATTATGAGCTAGAAAAAACAAACATAAAAATGCCACTGGTTCTCCCAAAACAACAGTCACTGACCCATTCAGTGGAATCAACGCCTTCCATCCTGTCCTGCTCCAGCGTCTTCGTCACCTGATTCATCTGTTGGCTCATCGACTCTTCCAGCTGCAAGCAAATAGCTCTGATGAACACCATACTTCAAATAACAAAGAAGAAAATCTAAACATCCCCAGAATGAAATATCCTACAAAATTACATCAAAATAAAATGTACTTCAATATATAATTGGGAATACTTAAAACCCTCACTTGATGAAAAACTAATGCATATATTACTGTACATCATTACAAAAATATGAATATCTATCTGTTTCTATGCAGTTTTAACCCCTAAATCACAAAACTTTCTGATGATTTATTCTATTCATTCCCCCTTATGGAAATTACAGGAACCCAAATCTGCTAATCACATCAGGAGGGGAGAGGAAAAAATGCCTAACAAGGACTGCTAACTGTGTGTATAAAGGAATATGTATATTTCTTTTTATACTCTGTTCAAGAGATAAGAGCACAATCTTTTTTCTCCTAGGGTTCTAGATATACTTCAATTACCACAAATTCACACTAATTATCAGTTACCTGGTATAACAAAATATTTTCATTCAAAACAAGGGAAAATGCAGTCTTTGCACAGATGTACTTTTAGTACTTATGTTTTAATACAATTGCTTATCACTATATAAGAAACACTTGTTTTAATCTATGAATTGTCATATGAAAAATGAGTGATATAGATAGTAGTAATAGTACAAAATTCAATACGAAAAATGTTGACTAATAGATGTAATTTTATCAAAATATAAAAATTTATTCAAAATCCTTCATCCTTCTACATATATGAATAACATGTTCAGTTTTCAACAAATCAATCATGTCTTTCACAATTAATAGAGCCAACAGAAAAAAGCAATACATAACAAAAACAAACATCTTTAACAGAGGTTTTGGAAACCTATCAAACATAACATCCATCACATTCAAAGCAAATCAATTAAGGATCTATGTTATGTGCCTTCATTAACTTTATGGACATAGATTTGACATGCTGAAGATCAACACAAATTTGCAACATCAGACTTACTGTTCCTTAAACAGAGAATAAAATTGTGGCTTAATTTGTGTAAAGGAAATCCATGGATGTCATTTTATGTGAATAATGAAACTTAACATCAACATGAACTGAAGAAGAAAAGGAAATGACAAAGAAAGAAATCTAACCACTATAGGAGAACTTTTACAACAAATGAAAAAAGAAGAAAAAATAGCATGGAAAACAAATAAAAATGTATAAACAAACATACACACAGAATGAATAATTGTAATGGATGAAAAGAACATAATTGAAACCAAAGCTAAACATACCCGTGTCTGTGTCTCCTGGACTTCCTCAGGCACATTAAGGTTCTGTGGGAGTATAACAGCAAGCTCGGGATAGGTACATGCAACAACAAAAATTTTGAAGCCCAACTCAGAACTAAACTGGAGCAGTTCATGGTCAAGCACGTCATTCAATTACCATTTGTGCTTTTTCAATTCTTTTATATTTTTGTTTCTTTTCTCTTTCTTTTTCTTTGAAACTGGTGATAGGTCTGAACCCTGAATCAATGGGGTTTGACTTTCAGAATCAGTGATAGGTCTTAATTCTTGAATCAAACACATGGTTGTAAATGTGTGAAAAAGAAAAAAAAAAAGAAGCAAATTTTTGTACATCACACAGTACAAACATGAAGACGTCATTTCACCATATGTGCATATGCATGAAATTCTACTTGAAAGAGAATAAAGTGTAAAATAATTGTGAATAATGTGCTTTCTAGTTGGGCTATCTATAAATAAATCTAGCTTCTGTGTAATCTCACAATAACTGTTAACTCTTTAAATCTATGTTGAAATATATATGCAAATAAAATCTAACATAAAATATAATTTTCTAATCAAGAAATCAACTTGTGTTCAATATCAAAAGCAACACAATTTAACGAACGAGCAACAAATGGATAAACTATAGCTTGACTTTCATTACAGTGCTCAGTCTAAATGAGGGTGACCAAGTCACACAAACTTTAGTACTTAATTCAGTAGAAGAAAACCCTGCTTGCCTGCTTGATAAACAGATGAAACTTATAGATTTACACAATGCAGCATTTTCTGAAACATGGGTGCTGAGGTGCAGTGGAAAAGAATTCTGCAAGCACGTGTTCTGACCCAAGGGATCTTAGACAATCTTAGACCAAGATTCACCTGTTGATCATGCTGCCCTAAAACTAACACTTTAAGGCTATCTATTTTAGACATGTATGCAAAACATTTCCAAAGAATGCTGCTCACTGTGAGGGGCATACATTTATATATATACTTGAATATATTTCCTTTCTCTTCTTCTCCAGTGGCTCTTCTGTACTTCATTCAGAACATCTTTTTTCATGTAATAATGGAAAATATAATATGTAAATTTCACAAACAAGATTTACAAAGAGCCCTATACATTAAAGATTTCCCTCTGAGTATAACTATTGCATGGTAATGATCAGGAAAATTCTCAGTATATTACATCTTTTACCTTAACAACAAGAGGTGAAGTATATTCCAAATGAAATAAAGTACTGCAAATACAAAGGAAAATAGGAGTCTAGAAGTCAAAAGAACATCTAGCCAAAAAAGAAGAGAAAGAAAATTATCAAACAGTTGAAATACGCCCTACTTCACAAGCAACATTATGTGTTCAGTCAATTCAACATGCATTATATTATTCCTTATTCTTATTAATGATCATGCAAATAAGAAAAACTGTGAAAGAAAGAAAGAAAAAAAAAAGCCACTGACATTCTAGTGTTGGTGGCTTCTGCAACATAATAAGCTTCTTTATTTCCTTACTTAAGCTGAACAGATTACTGAATTTTCACAATAGCTTCTTCACTGCTTGAAGGCAGTGTTGTTAATTTTTGGCTATATTTTAGGCAAAATTAAAATTAAAAACTACATTGCAGAGAAAATTGTCAGTCAAAATAAAATACATCAAAAGTAAGTAACTGAAAAAGAAAAAGAAAATCTTCAACATCATCTTGCTATGAAGCTCCTTCCTCCCTTCCAAAAAATTCCAACAAATTCAGATTACTTTAAAACATATACAATTATAAAAAAGTAACAAATAAACATAATAAAAAACCATAAACAAACTGAAACAGGGGAAAAGTGGGTGAGCCCCTCTGTTTTGTATCAAACCTTGTGTTGCGTCTGTCGAACTTCATTAGGTACCATGCCCTTGAGGAAAGGTGGGGTCTCATGCCGGATGTGAGTCTGGGGTCCACCGTAAGTTGGAGGTGCCACGGGGGACTGCTGCTCACGACTCTCAGACACTAAAAGAAAAAAAATGTTGGTCTTATGGGAATGGAGTCCATAACAAGTCGTAAAGCTGTAATTTTTTTAATGACAATACTGACAAATATCCCATTCTTCACAACAGCTTGCTGAAAACAAGTTCAAAGCTAAATCAAAACTGAATCAAGATAGAAAGACAAATTGCAACAGAAAACACAACAGAAAATACAAACAAAAGACTTTAATAATAAAAATAAATCTATCTCAAATACCAAACACTTACAGCTAATCATATCTTCTGGCTGCAGGGATTGTGTCCGTGGCGGGCGGTTCGTCCTCCAAGCCACTCTGCAGCTGTCATCACTGGCTCCCAGCTGACAAAAGTTGGTGGGAAGAGGTCATCCTGGAACAGCTCCGTCTGGAAGAAGTTGTGTAATGAATAGCGAATCAATTATAAATATATATATTTATGTATGTATGTATAAATATTTATATATATAAATATATAATATATATATATATATATATATATATATATATATATATATATATATATATATATATATATATATATATATAATATAGTTATATATATTTTCCACTATCAATTTTCAGTCATAAAAATAATAACACCAAAGTATCAAGGTATTAAAAAAACAATCAACACATCAGAGTAGAACCAGAACCTACCTTTACTCTGGGGACAGTGAAGGAGAGGGGCTCGAGAATGGAAGAGGTTAATCTCAATGCCTTGCAGAATTCAACTTGCCGAACATCGCACATCTGCTTTGGCAACAAGACCAATCCCTGTGGAATTAAACCAATTATCACCATTAAATCATTAACTCAGAATTATTCTATGATTCATCAAGGTAACATGCTGTGAAATTATCCACATCAAAAAATGTGTAGTATAATTTGAATGCCTCTTTAATATCACTTATTCAGGCCTGTTTTCCTACAGGATACAATTGCTAAAATTTAAGAAAACTGCATATCAAAATACCTGATGGACACTTCCACACTTGTGGTTGGACAATGGAAACAGGTGTGGGTAATCGCTCCCAATCTCGTAGGCAAAGATGGTGCTATCACCCTTGGAAGGAGAAAAAAAAAAGTTAAGATACTGCCTCAAAATCTAGCACCAGATCAATGTTATGTCAGGTATAAACAGCAATTTTACCAATCTGAAATGCTGCATCAGATAGGAATGAAGGAGGAGGAGGAGGAAAAGGAGGAGGAGGAGGAGGAGAGGAGGAGGAGGAGGAGGAGGAGGAGGAGGAGGAGGAGGAGGAGGAGGAAGGAGGGAGGAGGAGGAGGAGGAGGAGGAAGAGGAGGCAGAGAAGATGAAGTAGAGGAGATGAGGTTGAGGAGGGAGAGGGAGAGGGAGGAGGGGAGGGAGGAGGAGGTGGACAGGGAGGGAAGAAGGGAGAAGGAGGAGAGAAGGAGGGAGGAGGAGGAGGGGGAAGAGAGGAGAGGAGGAGGAGGAGGAGGAGGGGAAGAGAGGGAAGAGAAGGAGAGGAGGAGGAGAAGGAGAGGAGGAGAGGAGGAAGGGAGGGAGAGGGGGGAGGAGAGGAGGAGAGGAGAAGGAGGAGGAGAAGGAGGAGAAGGAGGAGGAGGAGGAGGAGGAGGGAGGAGGAGGAGGAAAAGGAGGAGGAGCATGGAGGGGGGGGGAGGAGAGAAGGAAGAGGAGGAGGAGGAGGAGGAGGAGGGAGAGGAGAGGAGGGAGGAGGAGGAGGAGAGGAGGGAGGAGGAGGAGGGAGAGGGGAGGAGGAGGGAGGAGGAGGAGGAGGAGGGAGGAGGAGGAGGAGGAGGAGGAGGAGGAGGGAGAGAGAGGAGGGAGGAGGAGGAGAGGAGGAGGAGGGAGGAGGAGAAGAGAGAGCAGGAGCAGGGGAAGGAGGTGAAGGAGGAGAGGAAATAAGAAAGGGGGAGGAGAGGAGATATAAAGGAGGAGAAGGGAGGAAGAAGGAAGGAGAAGGGAAGAGGGAGGGATGATATAAGAGGAAAGAGGGAAGGAGAGCAAGAGATAAGGGAGAGGAGAGGAGGAGAGAAAGAGATTGAGAAAATAAAAATAAGAGGGGGACAAAAATAAGGTAAAAGAAAGAGAAAAAAAAGAAAGGAAAAAAAGAGAAAAAAAAAGAAAAAAAAGATGGGCGACCACAAGGAGGATCGCAGGGGAGGGAAGACGAGGGAAAGAAAAGAGAAAGAGAAGAAAGCGAAGAGAAAGAAAGAAGAAAACATGAAGAGGAAGCAGAAGGAGAGAGAAGGCGGAATAAAGAAATTGGAGGCATGAGCCGGCAGGAAGTCGCCAAAGAGCAGGACAAAGAGAGATAGGCAAGAGGAGACGAGGAGACGGTGGGGAGAAAAGAAGAAACGTTTGAAAAGAGGATAAGCATGCGAGTAGAAAAGATGGAAAGGGAAGAAAGGAACGACAGAGCAAAGAGGATAGCAAGAAGTAGAAATAAAGGAAAGCTATAGTATGTAGTATGAACAAGGCAAGAAAAAGAAAGAAGGCATTACAAAATCCCTGTTGAGGTAATATGGAGTAGTGTGTAAGCGAGGAGATATGGGATGAGGAAAAGATAAGGCGGTTTTTGCTGGCTGAGCTAATATAGGAGGAGTCCAAATCAATACTTCAACAGTGGGGACGAAAAGCACAATAAAGGACAAATTCCTTAACAAACGAAATTACGATATGAACAACAAGAAGCTTTAAATTTCATTACAAAAAAAAAACAAAATAGCATACAGTCAAAAAACAGATGCGGCGCAATCAGCAGTTTATCTCTGAAAAAAACAAAGAGTCTATGAATGAAATGCAGAGATACAGTAGGAAGGAGTATAACACATTGCAGGGCTGGATGGTCGAGTTATAGTGTGACAGCTGTGGATATTGGTCTGTAAATAAGGAACTTAGGACAACATGGATCGTGTTCTTGAAGGCGATGCTGTATTAAGTGGTACACGGACAATTCGATTGAAGACAGCCTCCTGATATAAAAACTAGGAAGATTATAAAATGTTTGGTCAATATACATTGATGAGTAAAGAATCAAATCGTTTCTAATATTGCAAATATCGATATAGGCCACACAAATAAAATGTGACTTTCGTTTCAAGAAAAAAGGAAAAAAAAGATTAATAATATAAACATAATTATAGGCTGTACAGTATATGTGCATGAACGTTCTAGAAGGAGTTACCCACTGGTAATTGTAAGTTGTGACAACGTAGAGAGAATATTGCATGAGTTACTAAGAGGGCATAACACCCCAGAATAGGTACTCTTGCTCCCGGCTTCTGAGTTCCCACTGGCCCATTACACCATCGAATCGGATCGAGAGGTTTCGGTAGTGGACTTGTTATGAGTGCTCTATAATGTGACATCACGGATATAGTGCTAGTGATCTAGCTCAATAGGCACTACTATATGTGGTTGAGCCAGTAAATATCTAATCCACACACATGTGTACTCCTCAGAGTTCTCAATGGAAAAAATTACTGTTCTCAGAAGAAATGGTTCGCATGTTTAAAGTTAAAAGTTTCTAGGGAAAATGATCTGTGAATAATGAATGGGATGCTATTACCACTGCATTCCCAAGAGATTCTGAAAAAATCAACCACTATCTATATTTAATACCCTTGGCACAAAGGTTATCATGGTTTGAAATGATGCTCACATAACTACATCCAATATAACGTATGATTTAGAACAAGTAGTTAGACCACTACTGGGATTCTTCGTAGCGAATATAGTCTAGCATAAGATGTGGCAGTGATACACAGGAGGAACAGTGCGATCGCTGATGTCAAACAATAGGAAAGCTCGACAATATAGGATTACACTATGAAAGAAATACCAAACTCACATCTTAGTTGAAAATGAAAGTCAACCAGTGTTTCATCAAATATACTTAATGATGGGTCAGAGGACTTTAATTTTATCTAGATCTATCGAGTTACTAGCGAATGTCAACTTTATATCCATAAGACACGCAGGCTCAGTTCGTATAACATGAGGTGTGAGGATAAAAAAAATGAATGAAGTACACCAATAGCTCCAACTAATATTCAAGATTTTATAATATATATACTTATCAAAAAAAATACTCTAGGCTTGTATTTGATAATTATTGCTGTGTAAATAGAAGTGGCTTAATGAGTGGAAAACGAATTAGTCAGTAATCAGATTGCAATTAAGAGCTTAAGATGGGTTAGCTACTCTTGCATGTATAGGAAGTGAAGAGATCCCAATCTTATCAAAGAGGAGAAAATGAATCACACAATCAGTTGTTATATAGCATGAAGAAACAAAAAGAAACAATTGAAACTAGTAACAGGTCAGTGATAGTGGAGATGGTAAATACACTAATGTAGACACAAGCGTCTGACTAAGTGCCAGAAATCGATGTCGTCTGGATTATAAGTCACACATGATACAATCTTAATAACACACTGCTGGCAAGTAAGGGGTGCCTATTGTGAGGTACTGGTGATATAGCCTGATAATACAATAATTCAATGTTAATGAAGAATGAATCGGATAGTCTAAGAATGCTAGAAACGGAGAGAAAAGAGGAAAGAATTAGTGGGAGCACTAATGCGCTCGACTGAATGTGTGTCGAATATACTCTCAGAGAAAAGTGCTTGCTATATTGATTTTAGGCCATTTACTCTTCACAACAGATGTGTGTCACACCGTGCACACACAGTTGGAAGAGTACTAACTCATTTTGGAGCCAAGCATTTCGTGGTACCAAAGAGCTTAGACTGAGAGATACTTGATATCTTACGTTATATAAAACCAATTCATGAACATACGGAAACGTTGTAATATTAAAGATAAATTCAATATTAGAGAGACCATAATCCCAACCACTGAAAACCCGGAATTAGTCTCAGGTTAGCGGTAAGACTTATTGCATGACATTAGACATGGCCAATTGCTACCGTATAGTAAGTTACATCTCGATCTCAGCCTATGACAAAGAGAGGGTGCTCACAGTGATGGCAGTTAAACACGACCCGTGTGGCGAAACTATGCGTCTGTGGAGCTTGTTTCCGAAGGGCTCTGGTTGGTATCCCACCCTCCGTGAGAATGGCTCTTTTGTTCTCATATACTAGCGGAGTATATAAGACATGTTGCTGTTCATGCACACACAATAGGGGCACGGTGTTATTATTTCAAGAGCATAGTAGGAGTAAGAAACTTATGTAGGGCAAAAATTAGCAGTGTGGGATTACCTACTCAAAAAAATAATTCAAAATGACAGCGATCTTACTAAATGATTCTTTTAATTCCTCTCTCGTTCATAATACTAAGTGAGCGAGCCATCATAGATCATAGGCAAGCTGCTGTTATGTAATGTGTGTAGCTATTATTTTAATTTACTACTATATGTTAATTATGCAAAAACCCTTCAGCATCAACGCGCAAAATAAAAAATTAACAAGCTTATGATATAGAGTTAGGGCGGCTTAAAAACGTCTATAAGGAGGAAGTAATGAGAGCAACTTAACTCCGAGGTGAAAACAGGCTATATACGAGCGTGAGAGCTGCTCAACATCGAGAGTGACCAAAACGGTGGATACATAATGCACTCGTGTAACATTATAGAATGTATAGAGAGAGCTAAAAAGTATTTATATAAGAAAAAATATCGTGGACTTCAGATATGAAGAAATACTCACTCCAATCTGGAGTTGAAAAGGTTACCAGCTGTATCGATAATTAGATAGAGTACTGAAAGTATAGGCCAAAGTCTCTAAGTTTTAAGGAAACTAGAATATATTATTGAAGATAGGCAGGATGGGGATAAATGGATATAGTGTATCTTAGCATGTACCAGACACTGTCGGGGAGTTAGAGAATGTTATGAGAGGCGTAATGGAGCTCACTATCATAAGAGGCTGAGTCTTGCAGTCCTTGTCCATACACCTTGACAGTGGTGATCGTATATATGCGTCACATCGCACACAGATATCACAACTTATACCCCTCTCTGGTATGGATCCATTAGCCTTAATGTAGTTTATGTTATGGAAGATAGTAGACACGTTCATCCTGATGAACTCACTGTATGTGAGTAGATTATAGACTCTTTCGAGCATATAGTTCACTCTGATGAGGGAATCTATTAAATTGCGTGTCTGTATCTCTACTTCCTTTCTTTCTACCTAGCCTCTCTCACCCCACCCTAACTCTTCTCAATCCCATATCACTATCGCTATACCTCCTTTGAATCTCCATGGTTAATATGACTAGAGAGACCAGGAGCAAAGCATAGTTGAGATCATCATTTCCTACGATGAAGCATAGTCATTTATTTTGGAAAAGTATTATTACAAAGTGTCACTCGCTCTCTCGGTAAAATGGTATATCTCATTAGAGCAACCTCTCAGCTTAACTATAGACTCAGGCTCGTCGCTCAATTTACTATAGTCACAAAGCTCAACGAAACCACATAGCCTTTTTGAAACACGTGCTAATAACAGTATTCTCGGAACTTTTCCCTGCTGACTCACATGGGCAACAATAATAAGAATAATAAAACACCAATATACGAAGACAGAAGACATAATCCATCACCCCAAAACGAGAGGGAACTGAGGCCTTCTTATTCGTGAGTCCTCGTTCATGTATAAGAACACTCAACCAATTATCTGGACCCTCTACATTTCTTGTAAAACCAAAGCCTGCCATTTCACACTCTCCAGGGGATGTGATTCGGTTCCGAGATATAAGAGCTCGCTAAGAGTTTTCTGCAGATGCAGGTCGTCTGTTCGGTCATTGCTCTTTGTCGTTCAATAGATAGCCCTTATCCTGTCATTACGCGAGTACCGCTAGTGGACACTTGTAATACAGTATGAATAAGAAGAGCACCAAAAATTGAAACGATTTAAGTACTGGATGATAGACCGATGGTCTATCTGAGAAAAAACGAGATCATATTCCGTAGTGAAGAAATAAGCAAGAAAAATAGTAAAAGAATTAATGTGACACTCGATAAGAGAAGCGTGGGAATCGTATGATATGAAAAATTAAAACGAAGCTAAAAAATACGTATCAGTAACTCCGAGCAAATTTCATGCTCTGGATGGGCGACACAATAGATATAAGTAGTATGAATTAAATAAACATACCCACCAAATATCAAAAGCGAAGATGCAGCGAGAAGTATGCTACATCGTCGAACCTATACTCTTCCCCTAGACAACATCAATTCAACGTTATATACACTGTATTCTGCGTGCTAAGCAGTTTCATTTAACGACAAATTAAGGTAGACTAGAGATAAAAAGAACAATACACATCAAATACCACCAAAAACAACAACATTATACAGTAAATAGCGAAAAGAGTAAAAAAAGGTAATATCACAAAAATACTCTCCCTCAGACACTTAACTCTACCTTGTCTCCGCCCCTCACACGACACACAACACACGCCATAAAAGAGGCATAATTTTCCAGATTAGGTATAATCAAAGCACTCCTTAGGTATACGAGCACAATTTAATCACCAGGAATAAGAACATATCATAAAATAATCTCAAGCCAACAACTTTCTAAATATATACAAAAGAGACTACTCGTCAAAGCCAAGAAAGTGAATCAAGAAAGAATGTATCTATTCTAATCAGGAGACAAAAAATCAACACGAACAACTCATGCTGATACAATTTAGGCTAGTGAATTACTATCTAAGATATTCCATGCAAGAGATATGCAAGATATACGAGCGCCGAATAACAACATCATAAATGGAAGCAATAACCTAACTAAACAACGACCTCCGACACAATATCACCTATGGAGAAACGACAACAGAGACGCATGTAGATAGAGTGACCAATGCAACCTGAGCACACTCTGGCTTAAAAGAGAGGATAGGAATCAATAGGGGAATAGAAGGTAGTGGCTGCGCGAGAAACACTCTGCCACGAGCATTACACTACCAAGATAACCACAACAATAATCACCTCACATAAAATGAGTGAAGAGAGCCGTACAACATGATAAGAGACTAAGAATTTCATCTAGATGATGACAAATCGCCAGGTTATATACCGGAATGTATCTAACAGCCGAATACACTATGACATGCGATAATGGATGACATACGAGCAAGGCAAGTGCCACTACTATAAGGGGAGCAACGACATCGACGAAGGAATATATAGTAGTAAAGTGGAAAGAATAGGAGCTATATAAAGGATGAAGATCATATAAGGTATGTGTGGAGAAGAGGAATAGAAAGTCGAACATTCAGAGACACTCCTATCACATGAGAGCATTATCTGCTTGGCAATGCTCTGGAGATTTGAGAGAGCAAGCACGCGAGACATGGAGGATAAATTATGCAAAATAGGTAGAATACGTATATAGAAGACGGAGTATCAGACAAAGCCGCTAGAATGCGGTCACGAGCTTAGTTGGTAAAGATAAAAGAGGAGCATCTATCCGAGCTGAGAATATATGTATTTCTTATTTACTTAGTCCTGAGTCGCCTTAGAGGGGTGTAAGCAGAGTGAATGGCACATAGTCGTTGTTAGTTTTGTATGCTCACCTTATCGTCATTACACTCTTCGATACTCTAGTCTATTTAGTAGTGTCATTATATTAGAGTAGCTCTGTCTTCGCTCTCTACTGCCTGGACTAGTGATCGTCGGCATACCCTCACTATATGTTGCAGTCCATTTTAGTGTATTTTGTTTATACTAACTTCGCTAGTTTGAGATAACAATATTTATTAGGTTGATTATTTTATTTCGAGATTTGTAGAATTGAGAGAACTCGATTGTAGGACAGTGCGATAGTTAATTGTCACTAAGACTGAGCAGAAGGCGATAAGATATTAGCTCAGTAAAAGACAATTATTTTGATAGCCTTATGATTCAATGGATCAATTGTGCCACTAGTTATGGATGAAAATTATCACTAAATCGTGGTGCAATTTTGATCCACTTTTCATTGTCTTTCCCTCTGATAGTTTCCTCTACAACTATTCCCCCATAAAAAAGGACACAAAAATTTTGACCTGTAAAGTCTCATGTCACTCGGTGGTAGAGAATAGAGTTCTGGGCTCCTTATGTTTTGCACTCGTGACTATATTTGCGCGGTATATGTAGTCGGGCTTTCTCCTTTGTTCGTGTCTTACTACCTCTTTCTCATCCATGCAGGTAACTTATAGGAGCGAGTTAGCAGAAGTTATCAGAAGGCCTGTTGAGTGTTAATGTGTGCCCGGTGTGCCTATTCTTTTGCATTTGTTATCATGGTTATTCTCTTCATTTCATTGAACCGGTGGATTCTTAACTGGCTAACTGCTGTAGTATGGTGTCCTGCAAGAGGTAGGCATTGTGCGCACACCTTGCTAATGCTATTTAGCAAATCAGTCATTGCTTATGTAATGTTGTGTTTTTAGTTTCCTTCCAGATTTATTTTGCTCTTCAAGAGACACAGGCGGTTAATAGTGACAGTTCAAGACTAGCTCGAGGATTAAAAAAGGCATGGATGAAAAATACTAATATATCTTTAGATATGAACACTTTAATCTATGGATCAACATATCACATACTCTACACCAAATGGGAGCGTGATGCATAACTTGATTGATGAAGGGGTGATGGAAGGGTGAGGAAAAAAAAAAGGCCAGATTTAAAAGAAGGTATGCATGAGGGTGAAACCAGCGCTGATCCCGTCTCAAAAATATGAAGCGTAAGGAACGTGCGTTACAAAATGGGTGACGTGTGGTGCAAAAGGGAGGAGTATGGAGTAGAGATAATGGGCAATTTTATTTTTTTGAAAGACGAACAAATTAGGAAAAGGAGATGATGGGACTTAAAGGTAAACGTAGCGCCTAAAGGTTAAAGCGAAGCAGAGTGAGAAGAAGGAATGAGAAGACAGGGTGAGAGAGGGAAGGCGCAAGTGTAAGGTGAGAACAGGAAAAGAAAGGAAGGGAGAAGAGAAAAGAGAAGAGAGAAAGAGAGGAAAGGTGCGTTCATTGTGTAACAAAGATGTAGAATAAAGCGAAGAAAAAGAAGATAAAAATAAAGAAGGAAGAAAAAGTGAGTATACGTCAGATTCGCAATCTTTCGTGGTTTCCTTAGAAGATGAAGAAGAAGGGTAGGGAGGAATAAAAACGTGAAAAATGGAAAATAAGAGGAAAGCAAGCACTGGGGAAGGGAATGGAGCCAGTGATCTTGAACAAGATACGGACGAGAAAAAAAATGGTGTATTCGTTTTGTACCACACGGAGAGTACTGTGCGACCAAATGAATGGTGAGCATGCCATATGTGCTGATCTGAGAAAAACAAAAAAGAGGAATTGGCAAACAGGATAGGCGAATGAAGGAGGCGAAGGTTAAAAAATATAAAAAGGTCAGAGTATAACCACTAGAGAATAATTTAAATAACGCCCTAAAAGAAAAAGGATAAATATAACAACACTAGCATGGTACTGCTTGATAAAAAAATAAAAAAAAAAGAGTAGGGTAAAGGCTGGTGCCCTCCAACTGCCTAACGTGCGGCTCCTCCTTGTGTGCTGGCATAATTTTTAAGGGCCGAAAGCTGCACAGAAGATGCTAACTGTGCGTGGTTTTTATCTCTTACCGGTGGCTGTGCGTGCATATAACACTATTCACACTGGTGAGGTATTTTCCACTGGCTCGCTGGCAATAAATGAACGGGAGATCAAAGCTTTTGTATGGATGCGGTGGAGGAAGGGATTGCTGAGAAACTGTGTGGTAGTGGTGGTTGTGAATGTGTGTGTGGGTGGAAGGTGTGTGTGTGAGGGAACGGGTGTGTGTGTGGATGTGTGTGTGGGTGAGGTGGTGATGTGGGTGGTGTTGGTGAATGTGTATGTGTGTATGTTGTGTGTGTGTGTGTGTGTGTGTTGGGTGATGATAGTGTGGTGGTAGGTGTGTGTGTCCGCGCTAAGGGTGTGGCTGAATGAGCATGTACGTCACGAGTGTTGTACATGTTACATGTACATGTACGTTTTTTAGTAGTGTGTGCGGGGTGAGGGTTGGAGGTAGTGTATGTGGTGAGGGGGATGGTGTGAGGAGGGTGTGTATGTTGTGTGGTGAGCGGGTGTGGTGTGATAAGTTTAGCGGCTGTGTGGGATAGGGTGGTATATGCTGTAGTGTGGAGTTGAGGTGTAAGTGTAGGGGGAAGGTGGGATGTGTGGTGCAGGTTGGTGTGTTGTGTGTGGTGTGTGTTCGCGTGTGTTATGTGTTCTGCTAGGGCGAAGGCAGTATATTGTCCGCAGGTGAGGCCTCACTGAGTGTGTGTAGTCTGACAGTGTTCATACATTATTTATGTATAGAGATGACATTGCAGCAAAGAGTAAGTGCCACTCCAGGTATTTTGCCAAAAACCAAAGATTATCTCAACTTTTAGTTTTCTAATACGTTTACTGCACAGACAGACGCATAGAGGTAGGAGGGTGTGGGATGTCACAAGTGGACGACAAAGGATTGAAAGAGATGCACTTGCCTCTGTCATTCGTGCAGTCAAAAAGATCTCATTAAGCACGCACCAGAGACCAGAGGGAAAGGATAGAGCGCAAATTTTATGATTCGTTATAACTTAAGCAAGTGCAAGCTGGAAAGGGTCATACTTACAGAAAAGGTATGGGAGATCAAGATACAAAAGGGACGGTTTTATTATTCCTGCAGAAGGACAACCAAACAAAGCACAAACACTCGAAAACGCACCGGACAGGAAGACTGAGCACAAAGGGTGTTAGGAGGCTCCCTATGCAGACTGACAGCCGAAGAGAGCCAATAGAAGCTAAAGGGCCATTAACAATAATAACATTATTGAAAGGGGCGACATTGAAACCAGAAAGACATTGCTCTCCTAGGGAATGACAATTGCCATGCCCTTCTAAACAAAACACCATGGAGTGTTCTAAGTCAGGCAGTATCAAGCCGAATGGGAAGCACTCCCGAATGTACGGTGAGGGAGAGAGAAGGCGCCTCTAGCGGTAGTGGAACGCAGTAGAAAGACAAACCATTAAATTCTCTTGAGAACAGAAAGCCACAGAGTTTAGATATTCTCCACTTCTTACTAAACACAAGAAACCTTCCACACCTTCCCTACAATTGAAAACATACATTTCTCAATAGACAATAAAGTATTGACAATATGTAAGTGTCACATCGTGTGGGCAGAGGGTTATCGGGCAAGTTGAAGGGTCCGAATTATCAATAACACAGTTACTAAGCAGTTGCAGTGGTGTACACGCTCACAAAAATTATCTTAAAAAAGACGAGTCATGTCTATCAGATTACCATGAAGGCCCAGCCCCAATAGCATTCCTTATAAGAAGGGTAATTTTAATCCAATAACAATGGGTAAAAAATTGGCACACAACGACAGTTTCCCGTTTGCACATGGCTCGTTCCGTAGATTGTGGGCAACATTAGGCACCTAAAAGCTTGTATTTTGATACAATGATTAAAAACATAATTTTTGAAGCTTTACCTTCACTTTAGGTGCTATTGCCTAAAAGTTTTACCACAGAAATGATGCCGCTATCTGAGAAAAACAAGCTCAGTACAATGAGCTGAAAGAGCGGGAAGGGTCGTGTTTAATGCCATTCGCGACTAATGTCCACAACTGCAATGGCATGTATGTACATACCACCAAGCGGGAAGTGGTTAATATATAAATACACATGATAAGAAGATTCTCAGCTTAGCCCATGATAGACTGCAAGGATTTCTTGCAGAAACTCTGTAAAAAGCAACAACAGCTTGACAAACAAGACAGGAGTTTCCACTTCTCTTTCCACAAATTCTCACTACAGACATCCATACTACTAAACTGACTTTCAGAAAAAACGAAATGCAGCTGCCCCATAATCTCCTAATTCCAGCAATGCTTAAGAATACAATTTCATATTGAACAGTTTTTCTCCTACAGATTAAAAGATGGATATTTGTAGTTAGCTTCACCTATACAGAACCCACAATATCTTTTAGAGAATTCACAGCAATAATAGAATCAAGCCAAGGTTAAAGCTGAATATTAAACATAGTACTGCTCATTTCTTTTTTTTATCTCTTACATGGCTCTGGCAAAGAAAGTTCATTGCATACTAGAAGAAATAAAGCCACTGAAATGAGAAAATGTGCTCACACTGTGTGAAAAATGTAGAAGCAAAGTGGTGAATGCATATATCCAATTCAAATAACAATGTTATTCACAGGATTGTATAACATTGTTATAATTAATTGATATTCAATCCATAAAAAAAAAACTGCATAGAACTCATAAAATATAGTTATCTGTAATTATGCAAAAATTGGAACTAAAAGTGTAATCTCAAAGCTAAATGGCTAATTCTTATATTAATATAACACTTGAACTTCTGTCTCAAGATTTCTAAAAAGTATTTTTAGAATGAAAAAAAAAAAAAAAAATTTAGGAAGATATCAGTAAAGGAATGACATCTTTTAGCCATAAATAATATTTAACTTCCTGAAAAAAATCAACTGATCTTGTGGAACACAAACAGAAGTGTTTATTTCCCATACTACACAGGCAGGTGGGAAAAAAAAAAAAAAAAAAAAAAAAAATCCAACTCTCTTTATGTGACTTATATATAGAAGCAAATACCAATACACCCAGTACTGATATCCCTCAACAGAAGTAGGATACACCCACAAACACCAACTCCATAACAAAAGCATATTAAGAGTGGAATTCAGTGCCACTTACTTTGACTGCCACTGTTGGTTTGGACAGTGTAGGACGTATTTCACTCACAGGCTTATTCTCAGTGCCATTAGAGATTCGTGAGCGGGGGGCAGGCACAGGGGTATCTGGCTCTGGTTTGGGGTCCTCGCGCTTGCTAAGTGGTCCGCGGTGGATCTAAAAGTACCAGCATATATAATTTTCACAATCTCTTTACAAATTAATTTACTTCAACAAAATGCTCAGAGCCAAGGAGAAAGGTTCTCCTAAAAATCTCTCTCACCTGGTACTTTGGTGAGGGTCTCTTGCCTGGGTCCAAGGAAATGGTCTTTCTTTGAACACTGGCACCCTCAAGCCACTGTGTGATGGAGGTAGACGGTACATAACCTGGGGTTTCAGGAAAGATGTCGGCGTGGAACTCTCGATACGTCTGTAGGCAGTAGATTTGAAAATCATATTTAGAAAATGTAACCCCCTCGAACACCAAGAAAAAAGGGTGTAGAAATGAAATACTCTCAACACACAGCTCGTGATCTGAAACTCCTTACCTTTCTTGGCACCTGATAGGTTATAGGAATAATGGCATTTGAGGTGAGCTGGAGCAGACGATTCACTTCTCCTGTCATGACATCTAGTCCTCGCTTTGGCACTAGACATGCTCCTTTGGTCTGCACTGAGCCTAATGAGAATATCAAAATCAAATTTATTTCTTGTTGGTGGAGATTTGCCATAATAATATGTGTATTCTACAGTTCATACAGTTATCAAACTATATAGGAGATATATAAGCATAGTCTGCTTTTACACAAGATTACTATAAAAGTTTCATTTAACCCAGCATTAAGAGCCTGACTTACCATTATGCTTGAGACCTTCTGTGAGGAAGGGTTCCTTGTCTGCAACCTCCCAATACATAATGCTCACATCTGCCTTCCCAGCTAGGAAGAGCATGTTTGTATCTGCATCATACAAAGGCATAAATATTCTGTAAAAAGAAAAAAAGGGTATTTAGTATAAGAAAAATGGAAAATGTATGTGATGTGTGGGAAAAGTATGAATACAGAGTAATTAAACCAACGATGTCTCATTTAACTAGACTTACCCAGTTGAAGAATCAAATGCTTGGACCTTATAGGGCTTTGAGAAATTTCTCAAGTCCCTTAATCTGACTTCTCTGACACGTGATCCATCATAGCCCGTAGAGAGGATGCGGTCAGAGTTTCCAAGCCAGACAACGCGGGAGTCTTTGGGGCTCTTGTGACTCTCAGCCTAAGAAGATAGAATTTTACTTTTTTTTTTTCTCTGAGCATTATTAGTTTTGAAAGTAAATCAAACTTCATGGGCAATATGCATGCCTATGAAATTCCCATTCAGTTGTCAAAGGCAACCAAACAAATTTTTTAATTGATATAAAAATATTTGATTTCCTTAGTTAATGATATGAATCACACCTTTTAAAATTAGTCATTACCCCATATTTCAAGTAGACTTTAAATTTAATTCAGAATTTCAGAATTTACCAGCTTTCCTAGAGCAGCCTCCTGCAGGCAGAAGCATTGCTGAAAGAAAGAATCAAAGAGTACGGAACTCACCTCGTATGCCACCTTGTCAGCCCTAGGGTCTATGATCCTAACGGTGCGGTCCTTGGAGGAAGTGACAAACATAGACCCAATACCATTCCAGCTTGTGCTCTGTACCTGATCCTCATGGCCACTGAAGCCTGATAGGCAGAGGATTAGGGTCCAGGAGGGAAGCAGGCAGGAGTCAGAAGAGGTTGGGTGTTAGTCATTACATAGGATGAGTAAAGAGCCGACTGGGTGCAAAGGTCTATAATCTTTCCATTTTTTTCTTTTAAGAAACACACAGAAGCAATGATGGTACTACTGGGTTATTTGTTGTTATTATACTAATTTTCTTAGGAAAAAATATATTGCAAGCTTTTTCTATTAGAAAAAAGGCACATATCAAGACATTTTCACAGATTTATAAGAGCTAAATTTTTAAGAGATTCTAAAAGAGACAAACAGCATCAACCTGTTTCCAAATTAAGGTTTGAATTTTGGAAAACAATTGAAAACAAAAGCATTTTATTTAGCACACTTATCATCCAGTTTAGTTCTCGATCATCTCAACCACCAGACTCTAAAGAGTAGAGAAATCTTTACAATATTCTAAACTCCGAGCAGGATCAATAAAGTAAAATGCCCTGCCTGGTGATCAATCAAACTGAGAAATTTGAACTGGTTTTAAGCTTCAAAAGATCTCTGACAACAACTTGTATAACTTACAGAACAACTCTTTCTCGTGCTTGATATCCCAGAGCTTCACAGTGTCAAAGTAAGCCACTGTGAGGATGAACTCAGTGGTTGGGTGAAACAGGACATTTTCCACACGCTTGTCAAACTGCGGTAAGGCGTATTCTGCATTGGCCAGACTCTCTGTGAGTCCACCTTCTGGGATGTGCCAAATTTTAACCTGTAAGATGAAGATGCAGTTATCATAATATACATGCACACACACGCACATGCATGCACGAACGCACGCACACACGCACGCATGCCATGACTTGAATTGTGTACCTCCAGTAGGTTACAAGGAGATAATAAGATAAATAAAGCTTAATCTAAACCTGTTTCACCTTTGGTACATCTAGTCTGTAATAACATAATAAAAGCATAATGAGAGAGCTTTATTTACATTTGCATCCGTTGAACACGTTGCCAACATCCCATCATCGAAGGGCGAGAAATCAAAGTCTGTGATGAGATCAGAGTGTCCGTGGACTAGGGGAGTTGTTGAGTCAATTCTGCCTTTGTAATCTAGTGGAACAACCCCAAGGCTTCCTCCACCTGCAAATTTTAAAAAATGTCAAGATTTTTACATGATACACATTTTTCTTTCAAATTCCATGTATGTCATACTCCAAATATGAAAAAACAACAATGATATCACATATCAGCAAATTTGTAAAAATCCCAAAATAGATGACTGTAGCCAAAATCATAATTTGAATCCTATCCTAATATTTGCAGCTTCTAAATATGATTCATATCAACCAATCCCATTCAGATTTAACATCAAGAAATGCAGGTATATGCTCGAATCCTTGGAACAAACTATTGCTTGGAAGCATCTGGGACACATTCTTACCTCTGTTTTCAACATTGAAAGCAATAAATGCTGCCGATGCTTTGA